GAGTCTACACTATAGCACTCTTCGAGTGTTTTCTGGTGACTTAAGGAACCAACCTCACTCTCATAGAGATTTGGAAAAATCACTTCCACATCGTTGCCTCCCTCAAGATGATTGGTAATGCGTGAGAAGGGGTTACCAAGAGAACGCTAACTTCAGCTTGGAAGAAGCTTTGGCCGGAGACCGTTGTCGAATGTGACTTTGAGGGGTTCGAGACAGTACCCATGGAACCTGTAGTCAACGAGCTTGTTTTTGGCCACTATCATGAGATTGGAGGTGGACAGTGATATGGAAGAGCTTGTGGAAGAGCATAACCAAGAGCTGACCACAGAAGAGCCTATGGAGTTGCATTGTGTTTCACAGCAAGACGTCTTCTGGTGAAATAAGAGAAATGTTGAAAGCTTGGGGCGGCGGCTCCGGCACAGAAGCAGCTTCGGCTCCACCTTATCAGCCAATCATCAGATAGTATTGATACCTGCACAATACTGTATATGCTGGTCCCTTGGAGGATAGGCAGAGCGAGAGGACTTCTCCGCAATTGTCATCAGATATTGATACCTGCACAATACAGTATCTGCTGGTCCCTTTGAGGATAGGCAGAGCGAGAGGACTTCTCCGCAATTATCACCAGATAGGACTGAAACTTACATAACACAATACAAAGTATTTGCCAGAGCGAGAGGCCTTCTCCGCAAGCACCATGTCTCGGAGAAACAAACCTAACGGAAAGCGCAACGGACAGAGGAAACAGCCCACTGACAGATCTACCCGATCTAACTCGGAGGCCAGGAAGACGCAGACAGATACTACCGAACCACAGGAAGACGCCCCTACTACCAGTGAGGCCCTGAGTGACGTCCCAGCGTCACCTGAACCAACACAGCCAAGTCCACAAACATCTCCAGATCGACGAAAGACAGGCAGCTATGAATTTCCTGCCACAATATTTCTACGACAGACCAACTCGGGCCGGACAGCAATCACTACACTGGCAACGCTAACATTGATCAATATGCTGGAGATCATGTTAGGCAAGAGGGCAGTCGCAAAGATTAGGAGAACTCGAGAAGGAGTGATAGCTTCACTAAACAGAACCAACCGCACCTCAGACATGCTGGATGACATCCAACACGACGGCAAGAAAGAACTCCGACTATCCGAGGAGATAACTGTAACGGCCGCCATCTTCCAGAATGTAAGACGCTGGGTGATCCGAAGAGTCAACCTGCAATGGAGCAACGAAGAAATTCTGCAACAAATAAGGAAAGAAAACCCCAATGTCAACATCAACCAAGCAGAGAGACTGGGCTCAAAACGGCATCCATTGCCAGTGGCGGTGATAACATCGGAAGGAGAAAACATCCCGGATAAAGTCTACCTAGATCAAAGAATGCAAAGACCAGAGCAATACGTGCCACAGGTGATCCAGTGCTCTCGTTGCCAAAAAGCATGGCACTCCCGGGCCACTTGTGTGAGCGAACATGAAGTATGTCGATACTGTTCACAACACCATGCCTTCAACAATTGCCCGCTGGCAAAGCTGGACACAGACTTTAAGTCACCCAATACGAACAGAAAGTGCGCCAACTGCTACGGCCAGCACAGCACCAGGTACCTGGGGTGCCCCTATCTGCAACAATGTAGAGAAATTGCAACCACGGCCATACGGGATAAGATTCCATACCATGAGGCCCGCAGAAGACACGAAGCAACCCAAGGCATAACTGCAGCCATTACCACCAAATTGAGCAACGAGGTGGCTCAACTCAAAAGTGACATCCAAGCTCTCAGAGACGAGAAAGACGCATCCAAAACCCAACGAGATGAAGACAGAGATGAAATAATAGGCCTGAGAGCTATAATGCAGGCGACTCTTGACACCCAGAAACGGATGACAGCAGAGATGACGAAATTCAAGGAGGACATCATGAATGCACTGGCCACTATCCAGACACAAAAGGAACAACCAACTAAGGCAAGGGAAGACGAGGCGGTCATCAATAATCTGCGGGATAACCAACAACTTCTCGCGAAAGAAGTCGCAATGATCAAGAAGGCACTGGCTGAAACAGAGGAAAAGTTACGAAGAGCATACGAAGAAAACAACAGACTTAACAAGGAACTGCAAGCAACCAACAGAGTGATGGAAGAAAGAGAGAAAGCACGGAAAGAGGCAACAAGAAGGCAGCAAATACAGGGAGCCGAGACCCAGAAAAAGCCGCATCAAACACCAGATAAGAAAACTCAGGCATCGCTGATGAAACAGTTTCCGTTGGCAACAGTTGACCAAATTAACGAACGCATCATGGAGATGGAGGACCCGAACTTCTATAACTCAGAACTGCAGGATGATGATGTTTTTTGGTCATCACCAGAGGAACCACATCGACAGCCAAAATTTGAAGTCAAACGAGGTCGACACCGTTACCCCAAACACTAATACCAGATACGACACAACCAAGGCCAAATTACCGAAACCCTATGTAGGAGCAGTACTTTACAACAAGGATACGAGAAAATCACCAAATAACACCTGACCTCAGCAGTATAGCCATCAGTACCTGCCCAAGTCAATCGACCGCCGGTCCTTATTAGGATAGGCAATCTACTTTCCCCGGAAACAACAAACAGCCAAGGAAAACCACAATAAATCGATCCAACATCCAATCATCTTGAGCGCAGCACAGGGCCAGCCAGATTACAAAAACAACAGCAAGAGCGGAAACCACAACAAACAGAAAGTGACAATATTGAACACAATCCAGAATCAAATAAGATCGCGACCAGAAAACGTCACCACAAATATAGCTGAAAGGAAAGTGAGCAGAAATGTGAACGGACCTAGCTGAAAGTGGTCAAAGAAAGAGAATTTGAATTTGAAAAAAGCTTGGGGAACTGTTGCATCTAACATTGAAAAGCATCACCCTAATAAGGAAGTAGCTATGCGCGCTGCAAATTTATGAATGAAAATCAAACGAACGGAAACATATAATTACTTGGGTGCAAACTTCAACATACTAAGAGAAGAAACACAATGTAGAATACAGTCTAAAAAAAAAGAGTATACTATGACCTACATTTTTATTTAAAAATCAAATTATATGTCTTGTAACATCATTATCATAATTCATAAAACGATGTAAAGACCAGTTGTTTTATATGGCTCTGAAATTTGGAGTATTTCTACAAGAGATTAAGCCTCGTTACCTATTTGTGAAAACAAGTCTTACAACGAATCTTTGAACCCATCCAAGATTCAAACAGCGGGCAATGGAGAGTGAGAAGCAATAGCAAAATTCATAATCTGTTTAAAATCACTATTGGTCACTGGTACCATGATGCCTAATAGACTGAAATGGTTGGGGCATATTGGAGAGAATGTCAGATGACAGAGAGGTAACAACTGTGTACACAAGGGAGAGGAATGTTCGTAGACTACGGTACAGACTAAGAAGAGTGTGGAGAGATAATACACAACAGACCTGCAAACACACGGAGTCACCTAAGAGAGGACTAACCACAGAGATTAATGCAAGCAGGTGATATCTGCAGCAATGAACCTGTCTAAAGGACTCGGACTGCTGAAGAAGAGGAAGAATAACGACGTTTGGAGAGGCCAAAATACCCCATCTTTTAGAACAGAATGCTGTTTTTTGATCGTCCTCCTCGGTGCTTATATAATGTGGAGGATGTCGTCCCCCCCCCCCCCCGGCCTCCTTTCCCTCTTTTTCTTGGTCCGTGGTACTGTCCGAATGTTTGGGGTAGCACTGCCATTTTAACCCACCCCCCCCCCCCCCCGATTTTCTTTTTCAGTGGCTGCGTAAGAGTCCATAAGTCACATCAAAAAGTTGTCACATGAAAGATACACAGTTGTCACATGAAAGATACACAATTGTCACATGAAAGATACACAACTGTCACGGAAAGATACACATTTGTCACAGGAAAGATACACAATTGTCACATGAAAGATACACAATTGTCACATGAAAAATACACAATTGTCACATGAAAGATACATAATTGTCACATGAAAGATACACAACTGTCACATGAAAGATACACAATTGTCACATGAAATATACACAATTGTCACATGAAAGACACACAATTGTCACATGAAATACACACAATTGTCACATGAAAGATTCACAATTGTCATATGAAAGATACACAACTGTCACATGAAAGATACACAATTGTCACATGAAAGATACAAAATCTCATATTTTCTTTTTAAAACTCACTAGTTTGCAGATGCAGTGCAACTATAATATATGGAATTCACCATACAAGACTTGCTCTAAACTACCCAACTATTGTCAAACACAGCAGTAAATGGTATACCCTGTATAACATATACTACATACACATAAACTATACAACATCTGCAATACACCTTTACACCAGACAACATCTGTTATACTTGTTATATGTTATCTGTATCGATATTCTGGCGTATCAGTCAGACCCACTCGTGCTCGTCCTCCGATACGGCAGCAAGCTGTGTCTCCATGCTCAAAGAACCCAGCAGAAGTTGAGTGACATTTCTTTTTTGCCCTGCAACTCATTTCTGCGGGCTTTTCCTTACTCAATAACCATTTCCAAGCTCTGTCCATACTTCTTCCTTAACTAATACTGCAGACACGGCCAGTCTGTCAGCTCTTTAATTCCCCTTTACTCTGGCGTGTCGTGGTGTGTACTGAGTAGACAGTTTCTTGAGGTAGGATTTCTGGATGGATGCTGTCAACCGATTCTAGCCAGATTTTGCCAAATTAAATTTTCTCAAGTATGCTAACTGTGTCTGTCACCATCAGTAAGTGAGGGCTTTCGTTCCATCAGCCATGCTTCCTGTCCTTCAGCAACGTCTGCTATACACCCCATATACACCCATATAATTTAAACATCTGCTAAAAACATCTGCTACTCACACTTGCTATAGAAAACACCTACTATACATCATCCAGCTGGTGTGATCTTACCTGGCCTGTGTATATTTGCAGACGGTATGTGTTTGACGACACACACAACTTGGACTCTGCCTTCGATGCGGGCGGCAATGTTTCGGCATCTCTCACAGCGACAACCCTGGCGGCCCAATTACTGTGGCCGGCGGACCTCATGCAAAGTGCCACAGTGGCTGTTAAGGTTAGTTATCTCTTTCAGACCCAGGGCTCCAATCCAGGATAACCATTTGCCTAATAATTCAATCGTCTATTCCTTATCGCTTGAAAGGGTGAGAGCTGAACGTATACGTATGTATGATAGTGTAGCTCTTTGCATCAGTCTAGACTTTTTTCGACTCTATACTTTCCTACTTTAATTATGATATAAAGCGTGGACACACAGAGATATACTCGAAACAGGACAATGACGTTGGTACTGTTTATTGCAGTATATCAGATGAGTCATTCAGTCGTTGTCCTAGGTTCTCACTGGTGGTTTACGACTGGCTAACAAGACTGACTTTCACGATAAGACTACAACTAGACAATAGATTCAGTTACCTCTCAGTCGCAATGTTCAAATCACGCAGAGATCTTGCATGGGGATCATAGTTCCATAAATGTTCTCAGACGCTCGACGTTACAAATTCAGTCAAGTTCATTCAGATATCTCTGTGGCTAAGTCGATGCAAACGCTTCGTAATGCCAGGATGCCAGGTTCGATCCCAACTGCGGGCCATACGTCTTGCGTTGGTTTCGACAGTGGTATCAAGAAAGCCGACCGTCCAGAAGAAATGGCAAACTATTGGACGTAAATTTGCCTAGAAAAACCACACAACAGCCAGCGGCTGTTTGGGGTTGGTTCTGCAACGTCCTGTAAAGGATACGCAACTAACCTTATTCAGATATTCACTAGTGTTCCTGGTCCTCGCTCCTTTAGTTAACAATCTAAGTTCACCTGTCACTGCATTCAAGCAACCCACATCTCTCACGGTCAAACACCAATTCCCCCTGTCCTCTGTCTCGCTTTCAAACCTTTGTCCTTATCCTATTTGTTTCACTTGCAATCGTTCATTCAAACACGGAAATTTGCCAGCGTACCTTCATCAAGTTTCCATCCCTTAACCTGACCCTTGACCCTACCTCGTCATATTGAGGACCCCTTTACGATTTCTGGGAATTCCCCCTTCATTACATCATGATAGCAACAATCCCATGCTATAATTGTGGAAGACGTTAGTAGTACTATAGTGATGTTTTAGGTATTCAGGTATCACTATCCTGACTGGTGCTGACTGGTGCTACATAGTGCCACTGCCTGCAATACCTGGTGCTGCTTACAATGGCTGCCTCAAATGGCCTGTTGCACATGTCATGTATATTTTTTTTAACAAATGGGAAATAATCTGGACCTATAATGGTGAACTTTTTTAATTTTTTTTTTTTAATTTTGTAATACAACAACAGGAAGTTGTGGTGTCAAGTCGCCGCGTTTGTGTGTCCGTTGAGGAAATTTATGGGTATTGAGGGGGTCGCCACACAGAATACAAGGGAATGCTTATAGCAAAGGGGCGGGTGTGGTATTTCGCCATTAGGTTCTGGTGGGTCATGGTTTTAGCTGTGATCTGGAGGTGGTCAAGCATTTCATAAGTATATTAGTGTTGCTTAAGGTTGTCTGTGACTTGTTACCATTGGTGGGTGGCGTAGGTGCCGCAGGGTGCTGCAGGGTGCTGTGGGTAACGCCTTGTGATCTGGATGCTTCGGGCGGTATGAGTGCTGCGGGGTGGTTCAGTGAGTAGGGTGGCGTGTTGTAGGTAGCGCGGTGTGGCGGTGGCGCTGGTCGAGCTGTCTCGTACTATGACTTTTTATATTACAAAATATAGTTATTTTGACAAAGGGAACGGATGTCGTGTTAGGTGCATGGGAATCAGCAAAAGGGGGTCAAGTTGTTGCATCAGCTAGGTACATGAGGAGTTGTAGGAGTCATTGGAGGTTTACAGCACATAATGTTGTGACCTAATTTTTTTTCATTTGAATAGAAGGAAAAATGAAAAATTATGGCAAAAAGGGAGGTGGGGGGGGGGGGGGGCATGTCGGGGCCAGTAACGGCTGTCAGAGGGGACTGAAATCACATCATGGTGACCTTCTGCTGTTGTGTAACCCACCAGCAACCTCTTGTTGGGGCAGAGCTCCTGCGACCAGGCCTTTAATATGTGTGTGTGTGTGTGTGTGTGTGTGTGTGTGTGTGTGTGTGTGTGTGTTGCTTTTCTTTACTAAAGTTTATTTGTGAGATTCTATGGTGGCCGCAGTAACGAAACGTTGTCAAGACTTGTAAATATACAGTAAAATAAGATCACTTATTCCACAAGTCATGGGGACAAATCCCTCATTAGACGACTAGTTGGTTGGCCGGGCAGACTGACTTTCAAAATAGTCGCTTTTATTTTGCAAGAAAAACGCACAGTCACTTATGGATACAACCAAGCCAACGACTAGGAAAGTAGACATCAAGTATCTTAAGGTGTCATCCAATAGAAAGACATCAAGTGGATTAAAGTATACCAAGGCTATTAGATAATTTTACCCCCCCCCTCCCTTTCCCAAATTAAAAAAAAAACACCAACTCATCAATGAACGAGTGAATTGTGCAATAAAGGAGAAAGGCATCGAGTGGTGTCGCAATAAGAAAAGACATCAAGTGCCTTGAGATATCCCAAGGACCGAGACTTGCAGCTGATTTATCCAAAAGTAAAGAAAATATATTAAAAATAAAATAAAACACTTCAGTGGACGAGTGATTTAAAGTGTGACAAAAGGAAAAGACATCGATCGGTGTCCCGACGGAGAAAGACAGCGAACGACTTAAGTTTTACCAAGGAAAGTGAACGTCCGTGATGAAGCTGCTGTGCTTTGAAATGTACAGTGAGATCAAAAGAAATCGACTAACTTAAACCACTCCAAGGGAAAAGGACATCGGGGCAACATAAGGGGCACCAATATCGGTGCATGAATTACAAAGAAATGTCACTGGACCACTTGAATTGAGTTGAAGAGATATCCGTCAGTGAAAAGAATCACGTCAAAAGTTGACAAACTGAAAATTGTTACAAGTTACTCAAAACTCTGACAATGTTCACTAGTGACCGCTTTGACAAAACTGTCCCAGAGTTGAAATGTTGGTCTGTGTGGAAATATTGAAAAGATGTATGTTGAATAACGAAATTGTTAGACTAGTGAAAGATCTGCCAGAGACATTCAGCTGGAGGACAAGAAAGAAAAACAACGCATATAAGATTAGTAAGTCAGACCGATCTTTGAAAATCGACCATTGTTTGTAAAATTTAAACAACAGAACAGCCGGATTTATAAGTTAAAGCATGTGGCCATATTCAAAACTAGCTGTCATTTAACAAGGCTGACCAAAAAAGTTGACGCACTAAACATTGTTTACATTTTAAGGAACGATCTGAAAAAGTGTCAGGTAAAAGTTGATATGTTGCGCTGTGTGCAAATGTTGAACAGCTATCTGTACTATTACTAGGTTAGTGAAAGCTCTACCAGAAAGTCAGCTGGAAAAAAGGGTCATTTATACAATTAGTTGGGCAGACTGCTGTTTTTAATCAATTTTGTTTGTAACAGTTGCCCTAAGGGGTGAAAGCTTGAACGTTGCTTTTTGTACTTATGTTGAAAAGATAGATCGGTACTTATTGGACGATGTGGTCAGCATCACCCTGACCGCTCTAGGCCTCCCTAGGACTTAGACCTGGTACCCATTTAAGGCTGAGTCGAGCAAGGATTTAAGGTCATTTTTTTTCTAAATTTCAAAAGTCCAGTACCATGCTCATTTGAATCCACCATCTTTAGATTCGTAGGCAATCGTTCAACTGTTAAACCATAGTGGCTCTCTCAGCCATTGATATTGTGCTTTATTCACTTGTCTTCTTCAGTACGGCATCGCCGGAGTCTTCTGGTATTGTGGCGCTGTACTGATCATCCTGTCGCTGTTCCCTCTCTTCTCCTTCCAGTTCAAAATAAAAGCCCCAGGAGCAAAAACTTTTCTACAGGTAAGATATTCTAGCATTGTCAGTCTGTTTGACTAATAGCGAAATTAGAAAAATCATTAATCAGCCCATAAGCAGCTGTAAGTTCCTTTTAATAATAGGAAAACAGCTAACACATCTTATCACTGGAACAGTCAATAAAATGGAATAGGCTACTGCATCGGTGGGTTGAACACGAGTGGGAATGGCCAAAGTGGAGTAACTGATGATAGGCGTTCACCCCCACTAGGACATCACACCGAGCGATAAACACCCGGTGACACAAAGTGCAACCACTTGAATGAATATCAAGCGGGGATTGGTCACAGAAACCCCGTTAAACCCATAGGTTGGATTATATTAGGGCCCTCGGCAATAGCTAGGGTGGGACTTCAAAACATCACAAAAATTGCGTCCGACTTTCGAACGCAGTATCTATTAAATGTACAGTGACGTCGATTGCAGTTACAGTAGAATGTTGCAAAAGGCAATGATGTGCACATGTTGTATAATAATAGGAGAAACTCTACATGCGAGCAATCGCAGCAGCAGGAGCAGCTACCGATCATCAGTAGGATAGTACCTGGTCTCAGATTGTTTCGGCCCGATATCCTAAATCTGAATCTACCGGCCTTTCCAACCCATTCAAAAGGGCTTGTTTCGATGGCGAGCTGAGCTGAATTAGGTTGTAATTAAGCGATATTGCTGAAATCGGGATATAACACTCGCTCTGTACTCCTCTTCAGCAACCAGCGAAGAGCTATAATTCCGATGCTAGCAATAGCAGTTTGATTATACATCTGTGTTACCTTTCCTCTAAGTGTAGAGCAGGGCTATTTAGTCAAGTTGCAAGCACACAAAATGGAAAAGATGCTATCACTCAAAATGTAAAAAGTGTTAGTACTCAAGAAGAAAAAAGGTGCTCGCACTCAAGAAGGGAAAGATGCTAGTACTTAAGAAGAAAACTGTGTTAGCACTCTAGAAGAAAAAGGTGTTAACACTCTAGAAGAAAAACTAGCTAGCACTCAAGAAGAAAACGGTGATAGCACTCAAGAAGAAAAAGGTGCTAGCACCATAGAAGAAAACGGTGCTAGCACTCAAGAAGAACAAGGTGCTAGCACCATACAAGAAAAAACGTGCTAGCACTCTTGAAGAAAACGGTGATAGCACTCTAGAAGAAAAAGGTGCTAGCACCATAGAATAAAAAATAGCTAGCACTGAAGAAGAAAACGTGCTAGCACTCAAGAAGGAAACGGGGCTAGCACTCAAGAAGAAAATGGTGCTAGCACTCAAGAAGAAAACGGTGCTAGCACTCAGGAAAAAAACGGTGCTAGCGTTCAAGAAGAAAACGGTGCTAGCACTCATGAAGAAAACGGTGCTAGCACTCAAGAAGAAAACGGTGCTAGCACTCAAGAAGAAAACGGTGCTAGCACTCAAGAAGAAAGGGTGCTAGCATTCAAGAAGAAAACGGTGCTAGCACTCAAGAAGAAAACGGTGCTAGCACTCAAGAAGAAAACGGTGCTAGCACTCAAGAAGAAAACGGTGTTAGCACTCAAGAAGAAAACGGTGCTAGCACTCAAGAAGAAAACGGTGCTAGCACTCAAGAAGAAAACGGTGCTAGCACTCAAGAAGAAAACGGTGCTAGCACTCAAGAAGAAAAAGGTGCTAGCACTCAAGAAGAAAACGGTGCTAGCGCTCAAGAAGAAAACGGTGCTAGCACTCAAGAAGAAAAGGGTGCTAGCACTCAGGAAAAAAAAGGTGGCTAGCACTCAAGAAGAAGAAAATGCACTAGTAGTCAATAAGAAAAATGCTTGCACTCACAACAAAGTGCCTAAAAAGTATCACTCTGAATGTATGTTAATTGGAGGGTGTCTCTTCTCAGATAATCTTAGCCAGATGTGGACGAGTGGCCCACTCTGTCTTCTGTGGGTTCGCCTTCCTCGTCAACGTCATTGTGCTGGCCAGTATCATTGTTGGTGGCATTGCAGTTTTACAGGTGAGTCGCCATGACAGATGGCTGTCATAGCACACATTGTGTTTCTGAAGTAATAACCGACGATTGGGGGATTGAGGGTGGTGGTGGTGGGGGGGGGGGGTGGGGGGTGGATTCCAGCAAGCCATGGTTTCTGATTGTGAGCGTTTTGTGCTTCGTCCTGCTTTAACTTTAACCTATTTTTAACCTTTGCTACTTCAATTACTTCTGTTCCATAGTGTTAAAGTTGGAACTCTTTAACACAAGACAATATTACTATAAGCAATTATTGCTTAGCAAAAGAGAAGTCGTAAAAATATACGTTTGGGACTTCAAGAGTTAAGCGGAGAATTAGGGGAGATTGTTACACTATACATAATACATACATAATAGTTAAGAAAGGCTCAAGAAATCTGAAAATTGTTGTAGTTTTAGGGGCGGACGGCTGGCGTTGGTATCTCGACCAGCTGTCCCAACATTTAATGCGTGTGCAGTCTGTTGGCTTTGTCAGCACTGCTGTTTGTTGCACTTTTAACATGGGATTTGTTAAGGTTTGCACTGGAGCAGAGCAATTATAGGGTAACCTGTTTGGTGTGAAATTGGAACTGGCGCTCATTTGTTTTAGTCACGTGTAGCATTTAAATAAACACTGCTGAACATATAACTTTTTTATATAAGTAAGAAGAAACTCCACAGGGGAGCATGTACAGCAGGGGTCTACCAATCATCTGTAGAAGTAATCTCTCGTCGACAAATGTTTCGGTCCACGAGCTTCTAGACATTTTCAGAGAGTGGGCCCACCTGAGTTCATGAGGCTCAGGGTTGGTTTCTCCTGCCGCACGTATTACCGGGTGTTATCGGACAGGGACAAGACGAATTGGTGACTTTGCAAAAGGTACCGTGAGATAAGAAGTCGTTTCGGTAGCATAATTAAAGAAGTCTGCTAACCTGGACGACCAAGTGGCAAGCTTACGTTTGGTTTACCGGACACATGTTGGACAAATCTAATTGAAGTTACTAATGTGTGTATGTATGGTGACTTCGATGTGTAAAATATTTCATGATAAGCTATCGAGCACACAATGGGTACAGTTTTTGATTTTTCGTTTAATACAAATGTTATTTATGTAGTTATATATGAGTTCAGGTGAAATTAATCCATTTGGGAGGGGGATATGTAACAGTGATTCATTCTCGAGAATGGAGATACTTGACCTGAATGTTGTAAATAATAAAAGATTTGTTGGAGGTAGCAGAGTAATGCTTTATTGTTGACACATCTTTGTTGTATAAGCTGAAATAATTTGATAACTTGTAATTATGACTACAGACAGAAAACAAAAATATTGTTTTTAAAAAAAATACTTTCTTTTGTAAATTTAGATTTGATTTAAAATGCCCACGATAATTAATTTTCTAAAAATATTTTTTTAAAAATATTTAATATAGTTCAAAGGAAACGAGTAATTAAATACTTTTCTTCGCTAAATTTAATTTCAGTATTATATCTCGAATTATACAAGTGTTGAAGACCTATGTGACAAAATACAACACTTCACTTTAATTGACAAAAGCATAACTGATTATCTGTATACAGTTGACTGAATTGTTAAATATGAATGGAGTAATTTGTGTGTGTGAGTGTGTGTATGTGTGAGTGTGTGTGTGTGTGTGAGTGTGTGTATGCACGTTTTTTTTTCTTTCAAGTGCACGCATTTATTATTTGTGTCATAAATTGAATTTGAATTATATAAATAAAATTATTGAATCTCTTGTATCCATTTAACAACATGATAAATCATTAATTTTTTTTAGCGGATTGATTATTGTATACATCTTAAGTAAAGGTTAGTTTTACATGAACAATTTAAAAAATAATTACAATTTTTTAGTTCTGTACCTTAGAGCTAGAATGTTAAAGTCCTATGGAATTGATAAATACAGCTTTGGGATTGAAGGAAACAACTGTAAAAGTTAACACCATACAGGAACAGGACCGAAAGAGTAAACACATGTGTACCTTTTAAAGAGCCGAATTGAGCGAAGAATTGAAAACAGACATCACAGCAATTGAGACAATTCCCAGAAGTGCAACGAACTTATCTTTAGCAGCTAGTGTCGAAATATATAGATGACTATCAGAACTTCATATTCTTTGACAAAGTTAAAAAGGATAGACGGTAATGAAAAAAAAAAGTAATCTGCCGGGTAGTGAAGAGTCCACAGTAGATGACAAATATTGTATTCTTGGTTAGGAATCTCATGTAGTCTCCATATAAATATTTTGCAGGGTTCCGGGTCGAGGCGGGGGGCTTGGCAAGCTTCTAAAACGTTGGAAAAGGGGTGGGGGAGAGCCCACATGTTTAGACGCACTTGATCTGTTACTGTTACTTTCTAGTAATAACTCTCATCTCAGCGAGAAGAGATGCCTGAAGAAAACTGCCAGCTTAACCCTCAGAAATGGAATAAGATACTTCTAGAAGGTTGTAGGAACACCTCGCACCAATTCTACCATTCTACCATTAACTCCTTGACTACCAAGAGATCCAAGGTGATGTGCGAGGCAGTTACAAATAACAATATTAAAATCTAGGTAGACTACTTCTAGAGAGATCAAATTAACAACCTTCGCAGGAAACAAGTATGCATTAAATACAAGATATATATATATATATATATAAACAAATAACTGTAATTACTAATATGCACATGAAAAAAACGCAATATTAATGCACAGTGCAGTCTCTGTTAGAGAAAGATTTAAAATGTAAACTATGAACGTATTGCCAGTTCCATTGTCCTGAAAGAGCGGTTAGATGGTACAGGTGTAGGCACTAGTCTGTGTCCGTGTCTTAGGTTGTGCCAAAGAGATTCGTAATGCCGGGGTGCCAGATTAGGTCCCAGCTGCAGGTGTTTTGGCAGTAGACCGACTTGTAGTTGCTTTAACAGTGGAACCGAGAGTCGATCGTTTTGGAAGCAGTGGCAAACTACTGACTGTAAAATTTGCCTAGGAAAACCACAACAGCCAAACAGTGCTTGTGTTGTTTATTCTACATCCTGCAAAAGGATACGTCACCAGCTGTAGACACTAACTCGCTCCTGCGCCCGTATTCATTGACAGGTCACGGTAAAAGATGCATCTCCTGAGTTTTGCATCATCCTGTTGGCAACTCTGTGTGGGAGCTTCACTTTCATCGGAGGCCTGGGATCCACGTTTTACGTCAGCTACTTCAACACGCTGACTACCTTTGTCGTCCTCATCATCCTCATGTTCAGTGTCTTCTATGTGGTATGTGTTGTGTTGTCTTAGGTGTATTAGTCGTTTCTCTCTATGTCTATATCTCTCTTTATCTCTTGGGCATACACTCTTTCTCTCTCTCTGTGTCTCTCTCTCTCTCTCCCTCTGTATAACTGGTTTTTTTTATTTACTCTCTTCTTATATGTCTTAAATATGGTCTCTTTGATTCTGATTCTATGTCTCATGTTTGTCTACCCCTGTCTGTTCCACTGACCCCCCCCCCCCCTCTCCCCCTTCCCCTATCTTTCTGTTTCTACATCTTTCTGTAAGTCTGTCTTGATTCGCTCTCCCCCCCCCCTCTCTCTCTCTCTCTCTCTCTCTCTCTCTCTCTCTCTCTCTCTCTCTCTCTCTCTCTCGTTTTCTCTGTCCCAAACGAAGTACTTGTAAATAAAATGTAAGGATATATTCTAGACAAAGATAAATATATACATATTTCTGTAAAGCTCGTCCGCATAAACAGCCAGTCAGAGAGACAGGCGAACTAGAGATATCTGCTAGCCGCCGTGGTGTAGCTGCTAGAAGCTCGCATGAGGATCTGAATGTTGTGGGTTCAGGTCCTGATCGAGCCGGACTCCCCCCCCCCCCCCAGCCCTATATGCCCAATACGCCTGAAGGAGTGGAAAGGGGTCATTTTTATGATAGACAGTCAGTCAGACAGCCGGACGGACGGACAGGCGGACAGATAGACAGACGGATGGATGGATGAATGAATGGATACATACAACGAAGGAACTTACACAATTTTTCAAAGGTCACAAATTAGGCCAACACACACACACACACACACTCACACACACCACACACACACACATATATATATATATATATATATATATATATATATATATATATATATATATATATTTAAAAAAAAAAAATATATATATATATATATATATATATATATATATTATATATATATATATATACATACATATATATATATATTATATATATATATATATTATATATATATAATATATATGTGTGTGTATGTATATATATGTGTGTGTGTGTTGGCCAAATTTGTGACCCTTCGAAAAATATGTATATATATATTATATATATATATATAATATATATATATATTATATATATATATATATAATATATATATAATATATATGTGTTGTGTGTGTGTGTGTGTGTTGGCCAAATTTGTGACCCTTCGAAAAATATATATGTATGTATGTATGTATGTATGGTATGTATATATATATTATATAATATATATATATATATATATATATATATATATATATATTATCTATATATATATATATATATATAATAGGGGCTGTACCGAATATTCGCTTCGTATTCGCTTCGGGGCCGAATAGTGGACCTATTGTCTATTCGGTATTCGGCCGAATAGTTGCGGTCGCGCCGAACACGAATAGTAGTTACCTTACACCCGCTTCTGCATACACGGCCTTAATACTGTCAACATGGAACGATTGGTTTTGTTGAAAGCTAACGCGGTTTCCATGCATTAACTAAGCTGTCAGTGACAATTTCCAAGTTTAGTTACTTGTTATAATACTTAGGATTCTTTGATTGCTAGTTGTTAGTTACCACAGACTGACTGAAGGATGCAAAACAAAAAATGTTTTTAAATGTTTACTTTTCTGTACGAATACTAACTAGACTTGGAAAGAATATGAACTCCGGCCACATCAATGACAATAATATGAAAATCAAACGAACGGAAACGTATTAGTACTCAGGTGCAAACTTCAACTGCTCCAACATGCTGAGAGAATAAATAAAATCTAGAATACAATCTGGAAATAAAGTATACTATGCCCTTCAACATCTGCTAAACTCAAAGTGTCTGTCTCGCAACACCAAGATCAAAATATATGAAACGTTGATAAGACCAGTCGTTTTTTATGGCTCTGAAACTTGAAGCAGAAATAAAAGAAATGAGGCCTTATTACAGGTTTCCGAAAACAGTCTTACGACAAATCTGTGAACCCATCAAAGATGCGGGGAATGAAGAGTGAGGAGCAACAACGTAACACATAATCTGTTTAAATCATCACTGATCACTGGCATCATGAGAGCTAACAGACTAAAATGGTTGGGACATATTGAAAGAATGTCAGATGACAGAGAAGTAAAACTGTATACACCAGAGAGAGGAATGGGCGTAGACCACGAGGCAGACAAAAAAGAAGTTCGAGAGATAATGTCCAGTCAGACCTGCAAACAATTGTTGTCACAAATTGTGAAGAGAAGGCCAGCCAGAGAAATGAATGGAGACTAGTGATATCTGCAGCAGTAAACCTCAAGGGCTCAGAATGCTGGAGAAGAAGATGACTATTCTGTGCTACTTTATGTGAAGTAAAAGTTCAGCGTAAATTTGAGACAATGAATGTGTATTTTTAAAATTTTAAAAGAAGTATTTCATACACTATACACGATTTGTATTCGTATTCGGCCGAATAGTTGGTCCTGCTATTCGTATTCAGTCGAATAGTAAAAATCACTATTCGGTACAGTCCTAAAATATATACACACACATACACAGACACATATGTGTGTGTAATGTGTATGGACAGCGAAGGAGAGAGAGAGACAGAGAGAGAGAGAGAGAGAGAGAGGGAGAGAAAGATGGGGTTGGGGTTGGACAATTTGGCAATTCAAGCTAGGAAGGGCATCTCTTTAAAATTATTGACAATACACGTGACATAATCGTGTTGTAAAGTACAGTTGTGTATACATACTTAGTACATGTCATACCATTGCTTGTCTGCCATAGAGCGACCCACCCTACGGAACACTGGAAGAAATCTACGAGAAAGTCAACTGTCTCCCTAATGCCCAAGGCAACAGAGATGGAAGCTACTTCACATTTCTATCAGAAGGCTCCCTCTTGTGGGCAATCCAAGGTATGTGGTGTGTACCAGGCCAACGCCTAATGTCAAAGAGAATACATTTTCACTTCCCAATTACCATTGCAGGCGGGCCGACAGAGAAAACAATTAGGATCTGGGGTCGAGGGTGAGCTCCGTTATAATTTTCCGAGAAACGGGAAGGAGGGCGACGTTCAAGCCTTGTTAAAGTCTAAAATAATAATAATTATCATTATGTGCTGAATGAGCCGCTGTGGTATAGAGGCTAGACGCTCGCTGGCGCATCGGAAGATCCAGGGTTCGGGTGGTGAGCGTACCTGACGTTTGTCAAAAAATGTCATCGTCTCCTAGGCTGACCCAACCTTGAATGGGTACCAGGTGGAGTACCGGCGTGATGCTGACCATATCACCCACCAGGTGGAGTACCGGCGTGATGCTGACCACATCACCCACCAGGTGGAGTACCGGCGTGATGCTCAACATATCACCCACCAGGTGGAGTACCAGCATGATGCCGACCACATCACCCACCAAGTGCCGATGGCTCTATACAATATAGATCTAGCCCTATGTGCCCATTACGCCTGAATGTGTGGAAATGATCATTTGCTTTATTTTATGTGCTGAATGACAAAAAAATATATTAATAATATATTTAAATAATTTGAACTTATACGTAAAGTAAAAAGTAAAGATCCCTTTCACGCCTTTCGGAGCATCGGGCATATGGGAAGAGCGCCCATATTTTTACAGACCATCAGCACTCGGTGGGTAATGTGGTCAGCATTACGCCGGCTGTCTTTACTTTCCCAGGACAGCCCATCCTGGTACCCATTTGAGGCTGGGTCGACCTGCGACGTCCCATACCACGATAAAAATCCACGCAGCCCGCAATGGGTTTCGATCGCGGTACGTTGCATTACGAGTCGGACTCGCAACGCCTTAGCCACGGACGCCGCGAACTTATACAAACACTTGAAAAATTGTCTATACCTAGTTAGGAAGACAACTTAACCATAGTGCAGTTTTGTTTCTGGGGATGGGCAGAGCGCACAGGCATTGGCGCACCTGATTTGTTATGTTACTTTATAATAATAACAGCTCTAATCTCTGTGAGAAGAGATGCTTTGTAAACCCTGCTAAATTACCCATTGGAAATCCAGTGAGATACTTCCAGAAGGTTGTAACAACACCTTGCACCAAATCCACTAAGAAGCAAAAGATCAAATGGTTTTGCCACATAGTTAGAAGCGGCCACATCATCTAGATTATATCTTTTTCATCTTTTCTTTGTCTGCATTTCTATTGCTTATATGCGTGGCATGCTAATTATGCTATGCTATGTTATGACAATCGATGCCTTTGCACACTGGGCATCCCCATGCGTGCTCAATCCTCCGATGCAACAGCTACTCAAATATTTAGCGAATAAGATTCGCCATTATCCCTTAATATAGTCCCTACAATTGATTGCTGTTGTGTGTCTCCTGGCCTGTTGCCTCAGTCTACAGCACCTTGTTTTTTGCTAGACTATTATACCAATATAATGTATCAATAAAATGTTTACGCACTATGCTAGGTGTAACAGAGAAACATCTACTTAGGAACGATGATATCAGGAGAAGTCGGCATAGAACATGTATACATGTGGATTTGTCCTGCAGATACCTCAGTTAATGCGACAGCGACCATCTCCTGGGCAACAGCTTTGGCGGGCTGGCTAAACGAGGAGAAGTTAGCCGATAAGCACAAACTGATCGGTGAGTTAGGAAATGCCTACCCAGCATGCAAAATCTGGATTGGGCGGACTGTGCGGATGAAACCATCTTGATGCAACGGACAAAAAAAGCGACTGCCAGCAGGCTCTGTGGAGAGCCTTGAGTATAGCAAGTCACCTAAGAAGCCCTAGTCATCCACTGCATCAAAATTTACCTACAGACGTATTGATTCGTCTTGCAACTGGACTTGGTGGACCTCGACGAGTGAGTGAGGTCGACAAACTGCACAACTCTTCCTCACTGAAATCTAAATCACCACACAAGAGATCGTTTCCTATCATCCAACCTCATTTAATGTAGCATGTATTTTGTGTGTGTGTGTGTGTGTGTGTGTGTGTGTGTGTGTGTGTGTGTGTGTGTGTAACATTCTGTGTTCACGTCATGTGCTGATGAAGACGTTCTAGCCTCAACGTTCACTTATCGTTAATAATTGTGATACTACGAAGCTGACTAATTCTACTTTTCGTGTGGTCTAATATCTTTTCATGGTCTCCATCTGCAGGGGTGTTTGTGGTATCAAGCTTCTTGTACTGTGACCAGGCCAGCTGGCAGAGCCGTATAGCAGCCAAACCTCTACAAGGAGCTATCGGATTTCTTTTGGCCTGCGTTATCTGGTTCGCTGTTCCGGCAACCATTGGCACCGTAGCTGGCATCACGTATCTGGCACAGACAGCGGTAGACCCGGAAGTCTATCTCTCGGACGATCAGATTAACTCAGGTACGTGGACGCAAATATACAAGCATGCATGAGCGTATAACTACAGGGTTTTTAAAATAAAAGCAAAGAAACATTTTTCGGTCGGCTGGCCGAGCGGTTAGGAATACTAGGATTTAAAAAAAAAAACTTTAAAAAAATAATAAAATACAGAGTTTCTAAAGAGACTATGAATAATAATTTTTAAAAAAAAGTTGCTGAAAGAGATTGAGAGAGAGAGAGAGAGAGAGAGAGAGAGAGAGAGAGAGAGAGAGAGAGAGAGAGAGAGAGAGAGAGAGAGAGAGAGAGAGAGAGAGAGAGAGAGAGAGAGAAGGGTAAACTAATTCGGCAAAATTAAAAGACAAAACCTTCTTATATATAACCATACTTAAGGGTGGAAGGCAGGCAGGCAAAAGGCAGACAGCGACACAAGTGCAAGGATAACAAAAAGAAAAGTTCAAATAATGCAGACACAAACAATACATTGCACAGGTTATTCCTAGGCATATTTCGCTGCATCTCGTCAGGTGCGTTACTGCAGAGTTGTGCAATATATTGTTTGTGTCCGCATTATTGAAATTTACATCGGGTAAACATTGTTTCCACAAAGAAACTAAAAGAAATACTAAACTAACAATTCTTCATTCTAATGTCAAATCAGTACTATTGAATGGGGCGGAAACATGGAGAACAACTAAGACAATTACTAATAAATTACACACATTCATTAACTGGTGCCTGCGCAGAATAGAGGGAATTAAATGGTGTGATAGAATAACTAATGTAGAACTTTGGAAGAGAACTAAACAGGCTCCAGTGGACCAAGAGGTGAGGAAAAGACGCTGGCGCTGGATAGGACACACACTGAGAAAACAGGAGAACAGCATAACTAGAATGTCTTTGCATTGGAACCCACAGGGGCATAGGAATAAAGGAAGGCCAAAAAAAAAAAAAAAAAAAACACGGAGAAGAGAGCTGGAGAATGAAGACAGAAAGATGGGGAGGACATGGGGAGAGCTCAATGCAATGGCAAAGGATAGAACGACTTGGCATGAGTAGGTTGAGGGCCTATGCTCCATTGGGGGATAGAAAGGCAGAAGAAGAAGAAACATTGTTTCGAATAAAGAGATGTACGAACAACGGTATGAGCGAGTTTGCATCCAGGGTAAAACGCAAAAATGTATCGGAGATTCACGGAGGTTAAACTTGATTGCGGAGATGGCACTTGGTGTATTAATTGATGGTTTGATTGATTGATTGATTGATTGATCAGAATATGGTCAGCCACTGTTCGTGAGTTTATATACAATAAAAGTTGGTGCTTTATTAGCATACCCCACATGACGTCACAGGACAGTCCAACATTTTAGAGGGTGGTAAGACTGGGTTTCCCGGCTTCCTGGTGCTTTTAACGACCCCAAAATATCTAGAAGGCACTCTGCGTGCTCCTTCTGTCTAAGCTGACCTTCATTTCTGTAAGGCTGTTCATGCCGGTATTCCATTTCTGCTTGGTCTTCCCCTTGCCCTGTGTCAATTATTATATATTTTGCCTAGTTTTCTGTGGCAGCTGGTACCAAGGCATTCTCATAAGATGGCCGAACCATCTCATCTGTACCCTAGCGTTCAGAGCATTTTCAAACTCAACTCATCACAAAATGGTCTACTATCAATAGTCTGCAGCTGATTTCGAACCCTTGTATACCGGAATTGTGAAAATTCATTAACAATCCTTAAGAACACAACTCAACTCATCACAAAATGGTCTACTAACAATAGTCTGTAGCTGAATTCGAACCCTTGTATATCAGAGTTGTGAACATTCATTAACAATCCTTAAGAACACAAGACACAGAGAGCCGTGAATAACTGAAAGTTTTTATATCACTTGCCAGGCATAGTGTCTACTTTCATGTCCCAGCATGCACTGGGGAAGACTGGCGGCATCATGATGTTGACAATGCTGACTATGCTCACAATGTCGACCGGATCTGGAGAAATAATGGGCGTGGCTTCCATAGTTGTTTACGATATCTACCAGACCTATATACGGCCTTACAGGTATTTGTATGTGTATGTATTATTAATGTATTTGTAACACGTCATCATCAAGTAGCAGTTGATTTACAGAACGTCGCTCTCATCACGGTCTACCTGAAAAGAAACTCGGTCCCTCGCCAGTTCTCCCTCCTGGTGCATTTATCTCTTCAATGTGTCTCCTACGTACTGTGTCTTATCTTCTTGTTGGTCATCCTCTGTCCTTCTTTCGTGACACCACGACTCCCACTACTACCCCATTTCCCATCCCCAGGAGTAATTACGAAAGAAAATGCTGGACGGTTTATCATAGTAGCATCACACTGCTTTTCGTTGGGTCACCAGTTGCTATTGACTGGCGGATTAAAGATGAGGACTAATGATTCAAAGTGATCACTAACGATCAAAGGCAATGGATTAAAAATAATTATTCCTTACTAAGAGAGAACACGCTAGGCGGTTCGGCATCATAGCATGAAGAAATATCTTCATCAGTCACAAAACCCCGCATGTTGTTTGGTCACCAACTGTTGTTGACTGAGCGATTCAGGGTAATGACTACTGATTAAAATTAATGACTAACGATTAAATGTAATGGATTGGAGGTAATGATTCCTTACTGAGAAAAAAGATGCTAAATAGTTTGGCATTATGAAATGACAAATTATCGTCCCCATAGTCCCATAACACTGGCGACTCTTTGGGTCACCAGCTGTTGACTGTCGGATCGGTTCCAGCCCTAGTCTGACGGATCATTTGTATACACAAGTGATTGACAGTACCCTAGACAGAAGATGTAGACCAATAGTTCTCAACCTTCCTAAAGCCGTGACCCTTTAATACAGACCCTCATGTTATTGCTACCCTTTAATAAGGTTTCCCATGTTGTAGCGACCCCCACCCATTCAATTATTTTCGTTGCTACTTCATAACTTCAATCAATATGTGTTTTCGGATAGTCTTAGGCGACCCTTGTGGAAAGGTCGTTCGACCCCCAAAAGGATCGCACCCACAGGTTGAGAACCACCAATGTAGACAAATGCGATTACCAACGAAGTCCGTCATTACTTTCTATCGGCGTGCGTCTGTGACTTAGGTGGTACACCCGCAATTCATTTCATAATAGTCTCCGTGTGCGTTCCGGGGCCGCATTGTAGGGAAATTAAGAATACACCCAATATCTGCTCAAAAGCATATCGCTCGAGTCGACTAATTGGGGCTTCTTTCGAACTCAGAGTGTATCTGCCTGAGAGGCTAGGAACCAATAATCTGCATGCACACGGGTCATATCTGTAAAATGGATGTGCAGACAACATTCAGGTTCTGGAAGAGGGCTGGAGTCTAGAAGTGGACGAACAACTAGAACTTTCCTACGGGGTTTACAGCCCGTGAATGCATAGAAGAATAAAATAACTCATAATTATTTGGTCCTATTAGGTTGCGGGTAATCTGACGGCAAACTTTTTTGTGTGGCTGTCGAGAGAAGTATGGACAGTCGACCGTTGAACCGCCAAAGGAAATTATTTAACGTGAAATTGTCTAGTCAAACCACAAACAGAAAAACAAAATTGCTGGGATGGTGTCCAACAATCTGTAATGGATATGTAGATGTGCAGCAATCTCACTCACAGCCAATCCGGGGTTTTGCTGTACGAGACCTTCAGAGGCTTCAATTAGCTTTAGGGTCACTACTCGTGTGTGCCTGACTCGGTCCTGAACAGTCTCTCACAGAAGTCCCACCCTCTAGAAACCTCCAACTCCACTCATACACCTGCTGAACTGACAGGCATGCATCACCAGACTTGGACCTTCATTCTCCGGTGAATTGCTATAGTTTTACCCCTTTTCTGATTACAAAAGACGGCAGCTCCTCTTTGGTTAATTTTAAGTCCCCTTGTATAACTGACTGTTTAGTGCCGCTAAGAGACGCGGTCCTCATATCGTTATCAAAATCCAGCGTAAAGCATTTTGCTGTCAGATGGCCTGTCCCTAGTAAGTCATGTTTGCCACACTGATATACAGCCTCTAAATCTACCATATGAAAGTAAAGAACACCTTTTTGACGCCTTCATGCGTATTGTGCATACAGGATCTACATTTTATAGATCAATGGGCAATTGTGGGTGATGTGGTCAACGTCATGCCGGTTGCTATTACTTCCCGTGAAGTACCTAGTACCCACTCAAGGCTGGGTCGATCTGGGAGCCTAGGTATTTAAAAAAAAGTCCGGGTCCCGTCAGCACCCGAACCCACAACCTTCCGATCCACAGGCGAGCGTCTAGCCGCTAGACCACGATGATTCCCAAGTGTACCAAATTAACCTCAGTTTCATTATTTCAGATTTAAACACCCACAGGGTAGTTGTCTATTTTGTGGTCTCTACGACCCGAAACTGGAAAGAACCTCACTATCTACCCATAATTCCTCGGTGACATCCGGTGACTTCTGCAAATGTCCTTCACCTTTTACATGCGTCCAGTGTAAAGTGGATTTGGAACGACTGAACCACAAGTCACGTGTTCCTGGGAATGTTGTTCAGTACAACTGTTCTTATCATGGAAATTTCAGAGCTTACCAGGTAAAAGTAGTAGAAGAAGTATTAGTAGCAGAAGAAGAAGAAGTAGTAGTAGAAGTAATAGTAGCAGCAGCAGCAGCAACATCAATAGTAGTAGCAGTAGTAGTTGTAGTAGTAGCAGCAGCAGCAGTAGTGGCAGTAGCAGCTGCAGCAGTAGTAGCAGTGATAGTAATAGTAACAGCAGTAGCAGCAGCAGTAGTAGCAGTTGTAGTAGCTGTAGTAGTAGTAGCAGGAGCAGCAGTAGTGGTAGTAGTCGCAGTCGTAGTAGTAGTAGTAGTAGTAGTAGTAGTAGTAGTAGTAGTAGTAGTAGTAGTAGTAGTAGTAGTAGTAGTAGTAGTAGTAGTAGTAGTAGTAGTAGTAGAAGACGTAGTAGCAGAAGAAGTAGTAGTAGCAGAACTAGTAGTAGTAAAAGTAGTAGTAGCAGCAGCAGTAGTAGCAGTAGTGGTGGTAGTAGTAGCAGCAGTAGTAGCTGTAGTAAAAGTAGTAGTAGCAGCAGCAGTAGTAGCAGTAGTGGCAGTAGTAGCAGAAGCAGTAGTGGTAGGGGAGTAGTAGTAGCAGCAGCAGCAGCAGTAGTGGTAGTGACATTAGTAGTAGCAGTTGTAGTAGTAGTAATATGACAGTAGTAGTAGTAGCAGTAGCAGCAGCAGTAGCGGCAGCAGTAGCAGTAGTAGTAGCAGCATCAGTAGTAGCAGTAGCAGTGGCAGTAGCACTAGGAGTAGTAGTAGTAGTAGTTGTAGTAGTAGCAAACAGCAGTAGTGGTAGTACTGAGCGTTTCTGAGAGCAAAGTTGCACACTTCATCCTCTCAACTTCCACAGGACAGTCTCATCGACTTCAAGAACTGGTGCATTCTGTGGATCACGCTGGGACTGATCCCGTTTGGACTGGCCCTTAATTCCTCCGGCGTGGACCTCAACTGGACCATGGTGACTGGGGTTGTGGTTACCGTTCCCTGTTTTCCTGGAGTCCTGTTCTGCATCTTGTGGAGTAAACTGACCACATTGGGTCTAATCATAGGTTTGTTGTCAGTTTGATTGTATTTCCAGTCAGTGCTGTTGCTAAATCTGCTTCTTCTCCGCATTCAACCACTGTAAGCTCCAGTGGAAAGTTCTGTTTGTTCGTTCAATTTTGGACTTTAGTCTTGTTAAAAACTTTAATTTTTTGCGTGCACATCCGTTTTACAGATCGCGCTTATTTGTATGCACACTGCTGGTTCCTTGCCTCTGAGGGCAGATGTACCCTGACTTCGAAGCAAACCCCTAATTAGTCAATTCGTACGATATGTTTGTTAGTGGGTATTTTCTTTTCTCCCTAGAAGCAAAGGGGCCCCACAACCCACAGGGAGAAATGTAGTATGTATCCAGCTATGAACGAATCCTGGTGTAAGATACGTTGTTAGATGAAACAGCATGCTGAAGGTTTCATAGTTGTAGAATTTACTGTGGATCCGGCAAGAAAAGACATTTGAGTGGAACAGAGCGAAGTGTGTACAACGTATGTGCCACTGGACTGACTGACTGACTCTCTACCCCACTAGGACATTACACAAGCGATAAACACCCGATGACACAAAGTGCCACCATGTGGATGAGGATCACCCTGGAGAGGTCCCAGAAACCGCGTTCAGACAATAGGCCATATTTATGGCCTGCCAATATTGCGACTACTGGCAAAAGCCAAGGTGGGGCTTCAAATAACAAAACATTTCATCCTAAAAAGGACGTAAGGGATATTTCTATATGTGCCACTGGAAAAGTTATCATCCACTGATATGACCTGTCTGCTATGAGGTCAGTTCTTAAATCAGTAACATAAATCCAAATCACCGACCACTAATGTCTATCTTGAAGTGGAAAGGCGAGTATGATTTTGGTATTGTTTTTGTTTGTAAACGAATTGATCAAGTGCCGTCTCCACACAGAAAGTTGGCTACAATGGCTCTCCAACATCCGCAGACTCTCGTGTTGATTGCACACTATCAGACTGTTAAACGTCCATTTATAAATACTGTCTAGTCACTTGTATCGCTGTCTTACCTTTGCTTGCCTGCCTTGAATATTTCCCTCAGGGATGTTAAGCACCATTACACAAATAAAAGTCCAACATTTGAGAGGGCGTGCATCTTTCCTGTAGCAACATTCTAATGCGAGTCATGGACTATCTCCCAGTCCTTCAGGAAAAAGGTGGGGGGGGGGGGGTGACGGGGGGGGGGGGTAGGAAAGGAGATTGTGAGCTGAAATGCTAAATAAATAAGAAATATTTTCAGATTATCATCTATCAAAGCTCTAAATGGGTACCAGGTGCAGTCCTAGGGAGTAAAGGCAGCCGGTTTAATGATGACCACATCATCCACCAAGTTCCAACTGGTAAATAAAATGTAGGTCTAGCCCTATATGCCCAGTGTGATTAAATGCGTGGAAAAAGGTTCTTTACTTAACTCACCATGTACCAAGAACAACAGAAATGCTAACATCTTAAAAGATCTGAACATTAAGAAATATTGGCTAGTACACAGCTCGGAAAATGAAATGTTTTGGCCGTATCAAGCGCCCCAGCGGATTGGAAAGAACCGTAGGTGAAGGCGTGGTACCAGGAAAAGATGGGTTCGGGCCGACCAACACGAAAATGGGCACATGATGTGGAGGAAAGTGCATGAGGCGAGAGAGCTGGCAGAAGACCGAGGTTCTTTCACGAGAGACGTAACAAGAGCGACATTCTGCAAAGGACCTGATGCGTCATCGTGAGGATTTACATCGGAGACTTGGGTCACCCATAGGGTCGCCGGTAGATGACTTCGTCGCTGGTCGGAAAAGTATTTGTGTCTGTCTCCTTTGATTGCATGAACACTGCGGGAGTTCTTTTCAGGCCTTTTGGTAGCGTGCACAATTATAACTTAAAGATCCCCCTTCAGCGAATGTTGGTTGAACGTGACGATTTGTTTTCCCCAGCAAAGCACCAGACCAGTTGATGGGGGTGCTGTTATAAAAATGTCCGTCTGTTTTCATATAGTCTCGTCCTTTTTAGGATGTACATTTTTCGTTATTTGAAGCACCACCCTGGCTCTTGCCGGGGGCCGCAATATAGCCAGGCCATAAATATGGCCTAATGAGTGATCTCGGTTTCTGGGACCTCTCCACGGTGATCCTCATCCATGTGGTGGCACATTGTGTCATCGGCTGTTTATCGCTTGTGTGATGTCCTGGTGGGGTAGACAGTCAGTCAGTCAGTTCATGTGGCCAAAATATTTCTTTCAGTGAGCCCTCTAGGTGTCGCAACTAGAGCGTTGTGGATTGAAATCCTCATCGGGACTATAGTCACCCACTCAACCGGACTGTTTTTTCCCTTTCAAAACCGACTTTAGCTCCCAGGTCGACCCGCCCTAAAAAAGGGTATTAGAAAAATTATTGAGAGGTAAAGGCGGCTTCTATGATAATGATGAACGCATCACCCACCGACTGCTGATTGGCCTACAGTTAAAGGTTAAGCACTATATACCCAGAACTACTTGTTTGTTTTATTTTAGTATCTAGAAGCCATGAGTTGTTAACCCATAGGCTCGGTATTATGAATATCGCAACCTTTCGGCCTTGATTCCACTGTAAATACCGTAAATCTGGGGAAAATGTGGCTTTCCTGCCTACCCCCGGGATTGAACCTGACTACAAGGAATTCGTCAACCGGTCTCCGCGCAATCCGGTTTAGCCAACTACGCTAGAGAGCCGGGCACCCAGTACTCATAAGGGCGTTAAAAACGATCATTTGCGTTCTTTTTTTTTTTAATTTTGAATTTAGTTCTGTCAGCCCTCTTTTTGCCACGAGTCACTCTGAAGCCACTGTACAAAACTGTCTGCACTACTGTAAAATTATTCTGCTGTTTCGGCGTTCGTCCCGAAAAGGGTGGTCGGCGGATTATATTGTGGTTACAGCTAGCAAGCGATACCTGTACCTTCTAACCAAGGACATCGGATTTCAGATTAAATTTAGTTAGTTCTTTGTTGAGACATCATACTGATGATAAAGTAATGGACCCTTTTTCACGCCTTTAGTCGTATAGGGCATATAGGGCTAGACCTATATTTTTGTAGACCAATTGGCACAAGATGGGTAATGTCGTCAGCACACGCTGGCTAAGTAAGGGGTAGTGGGTTTCTTTATCACCCCCTTCTCGCCTCCAAAATATGATGTGTGTGCTGATGAAGGCTCAATAGCCGCAACGTTCACGTTTTGTTTGTATTTGTTATATTGTGAAGCTTGCTAATATACTTTTCGTTCGGGTTTATATCTTTTCCAAAATATGATGCCCCGGAACCCCCACGGGGACAACATAATGATGACAATGATGGTGATGAATATGCGGGTGACATAGTTTATTAGTTTTATTTGTTGTAGTGCTGGTTATCAACTTCTTCTTTGTGCACCAAGAATAGGTTGGATGTTGATGATGATGATGATGATGATGATGATGATGATGATGACTATGGATTGAAACAGTTATCGAATCGTATTTCCAGTTTCAGCGCACGTCATCATATACTCTCTTGTATACCAGGGCCAGGTTAATGATGATGATGATGATTCTGATAACGACGATGGAATGAAATAGTTTATGAATTGTACGAATAGTTGAAGTCCTAGTCATCATCTTATGCGTACTATCAACAGGCTGTCTCTCAGGTCTGGTCTGTGGACTCTGCGCGAACATGCTGGTGGCCTTTGTCTACTTCCAAGGCGAGGGAGGGTTTATCCTGGCCACGTCCCAACTCTATGCGGTAGTGGCCGGCTCCGTCAGCGGGATTGTCATCAGCCTGACGCTAACAGTGACTATCTCTCTGTGCACACACAAGATCACGTCGCCCGAGGATGAGGCCGAGGTGTGGCAGAAACTGAGAGATATAGATAATCCATTGCATCCTTGGGCTTTGCAGTTCGGTGAGTAACAACTTGACAAATAAGACACAGACAATAGATTGCAAAATTTATTGCCTGACATCATCATGTAGCAGGTCTTTTTCAGAACGTCGCTCTCATCACAGTTTGCCTGAAAGAAACTCGGTCTCTCGCCAGTTCTCCCGCCTCATGTGCTTTCATACTCAACGAGTCACTTATATCCTGTGCACATCTTCGTGTTGATCGGCCCCTGCCACTCCTTTCTGGTACCATGCCTTCTGTTATAATTTTTTTCCAATCCGTCGTGGTGCTTGATTTGATTTTAGCTTCCGAGACAGGATGCTGTCTGTTTATTAGCAAATCTTTCTATAGTATTCCAGCTCAAAAGCCCCTATTATTTTTTTAAAGGACTGGGAGATGGTCCACGACTCACATCCGGGAAGATGCATGCTCTGAGAATTCTAATTTTGATCTCCTTGCTGGTGCTTAACCATAGACTTTTAAGGCTGTTCAATCTTTGCATTTCTATGGCCAACTCCCTTTTAATTTCTGTCAAACAGTACTTTTTTTTTAGAGCGGTGACAAGAGTTTTCTGTTGTAGTACCGTCGGGTTAAAGGCCGTCATCACAACTACCCTTACTTGCTCTGCCATCGTTCTCTTCCCCAGTTCGCTTTTGTGATCTGCCTTGCCTGGGGACCTCACCATCAGATATTTGAGTTTCATTTTTGGTTTCCGTGGTGAGTTTCTTGGAATAGTGATGTGGTAGTTTTCCGTTGCTTAAGACTACGTCTTCAGCCTTCAGCAACCTTTTTGATTGCTAGGGCAAATGAGTGCCCTGCTCTGTGATGCTCCTGCTAACAACAGAGGGCACCCCAGAGGTGTCCGCTTATACTCGGTCCCCATAGTTGCGCTGGCCACGCCGCGGTGTGTTCTCCGTGTGGAGGTGCAGTTGGGGTTTTCCCTTCACTGAGTCTTGAGACCAGAATGGCATTTCCCAAAACTCTTCAGTCCTTTCAGAGGTATGCCTGGTATACTTCACTATATTATATCTTCTTCTTCTTTTGTCAAAATCTGCTTGTGCCGCTAGGCGTCGCAGTCTATCAGATGATCGGCAACCGAGCCATATGCCGTGATGTTATGAAGTCTCAAGTTGTCCGTGACTCCTTCAATCCATCTTCTTCTTGGTCTTCCCCTGCCTCTTGGTGTTTCGATTTTCATGTTGTATGCTCTTGATGCTGGCATCGTTGGTTCCATTCTCATTAGGTGACCAAACCATTTCATTCTTTGCTTCTCAATAAATTTAACGATGGGTATGGTTCCAATAGTTCTTGTAATCACATCGTTTCTCACTCGATCTCTTCTGGTTTTATTCGCAGCCATTCTCAAACATCTCATTTCACAGGTGGTTAGTCTTCTCTCGTATTCTTTTGTTAATGTCCAAGTCTGACATTGATAACCTAATGTCGGTATAAAGATTGTATTTATAATTTGTCTTTTTATCTCAGCTGGGACAGCAGGGTGTTTTAAAATTGGGGCAAGCTGGTATGCGACATTGTTGGCTTGTTGGATTCTTGCTTCGATCTCTCTGTCTATTTTACCATTGGATGTAAAGATACTTCCCAAGTATTTAAATTCTTGCACTTGTTTTAGGCTGTGATCTAGAATCTTTATGTCGATGGTCTGTTGCTCTCTACTTATGCTCATGACTTCTGTCTTTTCAGTATTGATCTTCATATGATGCTTGAGGCAACTGTCGTGTAGTAGGTTTATGTGGTCTTGCAGCTGTTTACTATCACTGTGAAATATGCATTTATCGTCGGCAAAGAGCAGCTCATTGAAGTCCTCCTGTTTATCGACATCTGTTGGTGTTATGTCTATTTTATTAATATTGTCCATAAATATTATGAAAAGTAAAGGTGATAATACACAACCTTGTCTTACTCCTGATGTTACTGGGAACCAGTCTGTGATGCCAGCTCTTGTTCTAATGGCGCTTTCACTTTGTCTATAAATAGCCCTAACACAATCTAAAATTGTTCCATTTATACCGTAGTTTTCAAGAACTTTCCATAATAAATTTCTGTTTACTCTATCGAAAGCTTTTTCTTGATCTATGAAAGCGATGTTCATTTGATGTCTGTGTTCTATTGTCTTTTCGCTAACTTGTCTTAAAGCAAAAATAGCGTCAGTACACCCTCTTCCTTTCCTAAATCCGACCTGTGATGGGCTCAGGATCGGTTCTACAACGGATCTAATTCGTTGTTCCAGAATTTTGGCAAACATTTTTCCTACGTGGCTTAGAAGGGAGATGCCTCTGTAATTGTTACAATCTTGCTTATTGCCTTTTCTTTTCCAAATTGGGACTATAAGGGCTCTTTGCCAGTCTATTGGTACAGTCCTTTTATTCCAGGCTTTATATATTATATAATGTATCCAATATTATAAGAAAGCGCCGGTGGAACTACACTGGCGTTGCACTCAGAATGGATAAGACAAGATTCCGCCATCAAACCCTCATATTTACACCGGAAGGGACAGTAAAAAGGGGAAGACATAGAGAGATCCTGCGTAGAACCATCATGAGGGAAGGCTCAACTATGGGCCTAATTAACATCCAAGACTTAAAACAGGTGGCAGCGAACCGCCAGACGTGGAGAGACGCATAGGCTCAAGAGAAACGAACGAACGAATGAACGTTATTTTCAAAACTTTACAAATTGGGCTCGCAGGCCCGTCTTACATTCGGTCCTTCTAAGCACCCACCTTTCACACAGCAGTTGTATTTTATTAATAAAGCATGTAATGATCATAAAATTATATACATATTCTGTTTACAAAGAAAAAACTGATTGGTGTGAATGTGTGAAAAATGGGTTCTTAACATTTTACTAATAAGTAACATTACTGGCCAACAGTGGATGAGTTCCCAGAAGTGAAGGACGGCTTGACAAGACCAACAGCCTCGCAGCTGGACCAGATCTCCAAGAAGGGAAAAATCGCCTCCATCATCGGCAGCATTATCATTATCGTCGTTTTTATCATCATCATCCCTAGCACCTTGGCTGGACTAGAGGTTGGTGTTTGTGTTGTATACAACATCTTGTGATGTTTAACATTTCTTCTTCTTCGCGTTCACCGAATGAAAATGTTGTCGGAAGGTTTTGGTGGTTCATCTTCTCCTGGTCTTAATTCAGAACTTGAATTTTGCATGCACATCCGTTTTACGAATCTGGTGCAGTATGGGGACATGATTTCTCTCGCCTCTTCGAAGAAAAAAAAAACATAAATCAGTTGCCCTTTACGACATGCTTATTAGGGTTTTAGTGTAGAGGAAATGGGTGAGCTGAGTTGAGTTATGAACCGACTTCACAACACTCTGGTCGTTGCCATGGTCGCTCCGTCCTCATCATCACAGCACAGCTCCAGTTCCCATGGTACCATCTACACATAACAGTTGCCATGGTGCCAGCAGCAGGCTGATTGGACATGAGGTGATCTACACATAACAGTAGCCATTGTACCAGCAGCAGGCTGATTGGACATGTGGGGATCTACATATAACAGTTGCCATGGTACCAGCTGCAGGCTGATTGGACATGTGGGGATATACACATAACAGTTGCCATGGTACCAGCAGCAGGCTGATTGGACATGAGGTGATCTACACAAAACAGTTGCCATGGTACCAGCAGCAGGCTGATTGGACATGCGGTGATCTACACATAACAGTTGCCATGGTACCAGCTGCAGGCTGATTGGACATGAGGTGATCTACACATAACAGTTGCCATAGTACCACCAGCAGGCTGATTGGACATGCGGTGATCTACACATAACAGTTGCCATGGTACCAGCAGCAGGCTGATTGGACATGTGGTGATTTACACATAACAGTTGCCTTGGTACCAGCAGCAGGCTGATTGGACATGAGGTGATCTACACATAACAGTTGCCGTAGTACCAGCAGCAGGCTGATTGGACATGAGGTGGTCTACACATAACAGTTGCCATGGTACCAGCAGCAGGCTGATTGGACATGAGGTGATCTACACATAACAGTTGCCATGGTACCATCTACACATTACAGTTGCCATGGTACTAGCAGCAGGCTGATTGGACATGAGGTGATCTACACATTACAGTTGCCATGGTACCAGCAGCAGGCTGATTGGACATGAGATGATCTACACATAACAGTTGCCATGGTACCATCTACACATTAAAGTTGCCATGGTACCAGCAGCAGGCTGATTGGACATGAGGTGATCTACACATTACAGTTGTCATGGTACCAGCAGCAGGCTGACTGGACATGAGGTGATCTACACATAACAGTTGCCATGGTACCAGCAGCAGGCTGATTGGACATGAGGTGATCTACACATAACAGTTGCCATGGTACCAGCAGCAGGTTGATTGGACATGAGGTAATCTACACATAACAGTTGCCATGGTACCAGCAGCAGGCTGATTGGACATGAGGTGATCTACAGATAACAGCAAAAATGATGACGACATGGCAGAGTGGTTTAGGGACTGCGTGGTCTCGAGACATGGTGTCCGCCTCGAGTGCTAGAGGTTCCGGTTTCAATCCCTGGTAAGGGCTGGGATTGATTTTTTTTACGTGGACGTGGACTTCTAGTAATTCCCCCTGGTCTCTGGGTAGTGAGATCGGACGTTATTCTATGATATTGTGAAGTCTTAGGCTGTCATTGACTCCTTTTTGACTGTGGCGTTGTGAACGAGCTTCTTAATACCGGGGTGCCGGTTTCGATCCCAGCTGCGGGCCTGGTGCCTTTCGTTGGTTTCGACAGTGGTATCGAGAAGCCGACCGTTCCGAAAGCAATGGCAAACTACTGGATGTAAATGCAGAAAAACTACAACAGCTACAAAAATGCTTTCGTTAGCTCTGCAATGTAATGCAAAGGAAAAGCAACTAACTTTAACATCTTCAAGCTATATGCTTCCACTGCCAATAGCGTTGGTTTGATTTTTGATAGGTCGATGGCTGAACCATTTCCATATTTATATGTGAATGATTCGGCTAAGGGTATTATTACAGTAATTCTTGATATATTTAACTTTCAAAGTTCACATCTTCACTGAGTAAAATGTTTTATGTGAGAGTTGATTATGTTTTCACTTTAACTTCATTTGTAATAACACATGTTTGATGAACGGGAACATGAGGTTGAGCTGTGTACGATTACAACCGATAGGGCGACTGTGTGTGAGTAGGCTGAGGGCCTATACTCCATTGGGGACAATAGTCACACACACACACACACACACACACACACACACGCACACACATACACACACACACACACACACACACACACGCACACACACACACACACACACACACACACACACACACACACACAAGACAAAAAAAAAAAGAAAACCTTATGCTCTACCGTATTTGTCGCGCAGTTACTTCAATGTTCTATTCCCCAGGTGCTGACCGCTAACGATTTCAAAATCTGGACAACAGCCATCAATGTCTGGTGTGTCATTATGGCAGTGGTCATCACCGTGGTCACTCCGGTAGAAGAGATCAAAGCGATCGTGCTCCAGCTGAGAGAGAAGAAAAGGCAGAAAGAGGCCAATGTCGATGCAGCTGCCCAAGGTCAAGACGCAGAAGCAGAATTCGCAGTCACACTGCAGGAAAGAAACAGACACGCCGCCCTTACAAATGGTACAGTTGACAAGGGGAAAGTCAAACAGTTGCCTGAAGATGATTCTAACACTGACAGAAGTAACATGTTTAAGCTCGAGAGAAAACATGTTTCAGTGAAAGACTTTGATACCGAAGTTTGAGGGAATAAATATATGCTCATCATTATCATCATCATCATCAACAACATCAACAGCGGCCACAACAGTATCATCATCCAGTGATTTCTCCATAATTATGCATTTTTGCATTAGGTTTCACGAACACCTTTAGTCCTGTATTCTTTATAGTGGATTTTCACTTTTCCTTCTATTGACGTCTGTCTTATTTATTTTTCATTTTCTCATGCTTTTTGTTTTTGTCTTTAGTTTATATCACTTCTTTCAGATTAGTTTTTTGATCAAACATTTCAACTTTCTGGTTAGGTCATTTATGTGTTTGTGTGTGCGCGTGCGCGCACGCGTGCGTGTTTATGTGTGTGTGTGTGTGTGTGTGTGTGTGTGTGTGTGTGCGTGTGTATAAAAAAAACTTTGGTCTAAGATTTTGCATCTATAATGTTTTAATTGTTGACAATACACTACCCTTGTGAGTGTAACACATAGAAGCCGCTGTACTGTAAGGTAGTGAGTGTAACACATAGAAGCCGCTGTACTGTAAGGTAGTGAGTGTAACACATAGAAGCCGCTGTACTGTAAGGTAGTGAGTGTAACACATAGAAGCCGCTGTACTGTAAGGTAGTGAGTGTAACACATAGAAGCCGCTGTACTGTAAGGTAGTGAGTGTAACACATAGAAGGCCGCTGTACTGTAAGGTAGTGAGTGTAACACATAGAAGCCGCTGTACTGTAAGGTAGTGAGTGTAACACATAGAAGCCGCTGTACTGTAAGGTAGTGAGTGTAACACATAGAAGCCGCTGTACTGTAAGGTAGTGAGTGTAAACACATAGAAGCCGCTGTACTGTAAGGTAGTGAGTTGTAACACATAGAAGCCGCTGTACTGTAAGGTAGTGAGTGTAACACATAGAAGCCGCTGTACTGTAAGGTAGTGAGTGTAACACATAGAAGCCGCTGTACTGTAAGGTAGTGGAGTGTAACACATAGAAGCCGCTGTACTGTAAGGTAGTGAGTGTAACACATAGAAGCCGCTGTACTGTAAGGTAGTGAGTGTAACACATAGAAGCCGCTGTACTGTAAGGTAGTGAGTGTAACACATAGAAGCCGCTGTACTGTAAGGTAGTGAGTGTAACACATAGAAGCCGCTGTACTGTAAGGTAGTGAGTGTAAACACATAGAAGCCGCTGTATCTGTAAGTAGTAGTGAGTGTAACACATAGAAGCCGCTGTACTGTTAAGGTAGTGAGTGTAACACATAGAAGCCGCTGTACTGTAAGGTAGTGAGTGTAACACATAGAAGCCGCTGTACTGTAAGGTAGTGAGTGTAACCATAGAAGCCGCTGTACTGTAAGGTTAGTGAGTGTAACACATAGAAGCCGCTGTACTGTAAGGTAGTGAGTGTAACACATAGAAGCCGCTGTACTGTAAGGTAGTGAGTGTAACACATAGAAGCCGCTGTACTGTAAGGTAGTGAGTGTAACACATAGAAGCCGCTGTACTGGTAAGGTAGTGAGTGTAACACATAGAAGCCGCTGTACTGTAAGGTTGGTGAGTGTAACACATAGAAGCCGCTGTACTGTAAGGTTGTGAGTGTAACACATAGAAGCCGCTGTACTGTAAGGTAGTGAGTGTAACACATAGAAGCCGCTGTACTGTAAGGTAGTGAGTGTAACACATAGAAGCCGCTGTACTGTAAGGTAGTGAGTGTAACACATAGAAGCCGCTGTACTGTAAGGTAGTGAGTGTAACACATAGAAGCCGCTGTACTGTAAGGTAGTGAGTGTAACACATAGAAGCCGCTGTACTGTAAGGTATGTGAGTGTAACACATAGAAAGCCGCTGTACTGTAAGGTAGTGAGTGTAACACATAGAAGCCGCTGTACTGTAAGGTAGTGCGTGTAACACATAGAAGCCGCTGTAACTGTAAGGTAGTGAGTGTAACACATAGAAGCCGCTGTACTGTAAGGTAGTGAGTTGTAACACATAGAAGCCGCTGTACTGTAAGGGTAGTGAGTGTGTAACACATAGAAGCCGCTGTACTGTAAGGTAGTGAGTGTAACACATAGAAGCCGCTGTACTGTAAGGTTAGTGAGTGTAACACATAGAAGCCGCTGTACTGTAAGGTAGTGAGTGTAACACATAGAAGCCGCTGTACTGTAAGGTAGTGAGTGTAACACATAGAAGCCGCTGTACTGTAAGGTAGTGAGTGTAACACATAGAAGCCGCTGTACTGTAAGGTAGTGAGTGTAACACATAGAAGCCGCTGTACTGTAAGGTAGTGAGTGTAACACATAGAAGCCGCTGTACTGTAAGGTAGTGAGTGTAACACATAGAAGCCGCTGTACTGTAAGGTAGTGAGTGTAACACATAGAAGCCGCTGTACTGTAAGGTAGTGCGTGTAACACATAAGAAGCCGCTGTACTGTAAGGTAGTGAGTGTAACACATAGAAGCCGCTGTACTGTAAGGTAGTGAGTGTAACACATAGAAGCCGCTGTACTGTAAGGTAGTGAGTGTAACACATAGAAGCCGCTGTACTGTAAGGTAGTGAGTGTAACACATAGAAGCCGCTGTACTGTAAGGTAGTGAGTGTAAACACATAGAAGCCGCTGTACTGTAAGGTAGTGAGTGTAACACATAGAAGCCGCTGTACTGTAAGGTAGTGAGTGTAACACATAGAAGCCGCTGTACTGTAAGGTAGTGAGTGTAACACATAGAAGCCGCTGTACTGTAAGGTAGTGAGTGTAACACATAGAATCCGCTGTACTGTAAGGTAGTGAGTGTAACACATAGAAGCCGCTGTACTGTAAGGTAGTGAGTGTAACACATAGAAGCCGCTGTACTGTAAGGGTAGTGAGTGTAACACATAGAAGCCGCTGTACTGTAAGGTAGTGAGTGTAACACATAGAAGCCGCTGTACTGTAAGGTAGTGAGTGTAACACATAGAAGCCCGCTGTACTGTAAGGTAGTGAGTGTAAACACATAGAAGCCGCTGTACTGTAAGGTAGTGAGTGTACCATCATAGAAGCCGCTGTACTGTAAGGTAGTGAGTGTAACACATAGAAGCCGCTGTACTGTAAGGTAGTGAGTGTAACACATAGAAGCCGCTGTACTGTAAGGTAGTGAGTGTAACACATAGAAGCCGCTGTACTGTAAGGTAGTGAGTGTAACACATAGAAGCCGCTGTACTGTAAGGTAGTGAGTGTAACACCATAGAAGCCGCTGTACTGTAGGTAGTGAGTGTAACACATAGAAGCCGCTGTACTGTAAGGTAGTGAGTGTAACACATAGAAGCCGCCTGTACTGTAAGGTAGTGAGTGTAACACATAGAAGCCGCTGTACTGTAAGGTAGTGAGTGTAACACATAGAAGCCGCTGTACTGTAAGGTAGTGAGTGTAACACATAGAAGCCGCTGTACTGTAAGGTAGTGAGTGTAACACATAGAAGCCGCTGTACTGTAAGGTAGTGAGTGTAACACATAGAAGCCGCTGTACTGTAAGGTAGTGAGTGTAACACATAGAAGCCGCTGTACTGTAAGGTAGTGAGTGTAACACATAGAAGCCGCTGTACTGTAAGGTAGTGTAAATGGTATTGTATATTACATATATGTTTGTCTTTTGAGGCGGTCTTTTGTTCAAGTTATTTAAAATCAAAACTACTGAATTTGGTCTCAGGTCGACCCAGTCTTAAAACGGGTACAAGGAAATGCTCTGGATAATAAAGATGGAGAGAAAGAGTAACAAGAACATTCCTGCCATTTTTAATTCACCGCTAATTGCTGGCATCTCGAGGGGCACATAGAATGCAGTGTTGCAGCATAACTGGAAGAAAGGACAATTCATGAGAGCATAATAAACTGCGAACCACAAAACAGTTGACGGAAGTACAACATCGAGGCAGACGATGGAGAGATAATATACAGAGACACCTACCAACACTTCCAGCACGAGATGGGTAGATAAGGTCAATCCCAGAGCTTGGAATCCCCAAGAGATTCCCTGTTCATCTCACTGCCCGGTAAGGACTTCAAGTTATCACATAACCGTCTAACTGTAGGCTACATATTAAATTGAAATACTCTGATATAAAATGTTGTGTGTAACCAACGAGTCTGACCCGGTCAACAAATGCCTGCAGAAGTCGGCCACAAAGCACAAATATCGCATCCATGCTGTAAACATGGTGTAACGCAGTTACGTCTTTGGATGAACACAGAAAAAAAAGAAGAAGAATTGTTTGTGTATGTTTTATTTACCAAAAAATCTCTCTGCTGGTTCCAGGGCCCCATTGTTACGGGAAAACAATAATAGACTCACTGCCTACCCCCCCCCCTCCCCCCAAAAAAAGAGCACATCGTAAGAGTAGAATAACAAGGAGCTTCCTTTTTCGCTGTTCGTGTGCACTGTGCTCTGCAGGAGGCGCTAGGGTGTAGCGGTCAGACACTCGCCTGCGGATCGGACGGTCGTGGGTTCAGAGCTGACGTGTTTTTTCCTCCTTCAGAAATTGCCTTGGCTCCCAGGTCGACTAATCCTTAGATGTATATGAGGGTGTCGGCTTCTGTGGCTAAGTCGATGTGAAATCGCTTCGTAATGCCGGGATGCCGGGCTCAATTCCAGCT